TTTTTAGGAAAAAAAGGGGTTTTGGGGGGGGGGGGGGCGCTGCAAACCCTATCTACTGGAATTAATAGGTGAGCTGTTTCACAAAGTTGACACATCTTTACTGTGTTGCTGTCATTTTTTATAGAGGAATGTATAGGAGGGGATGTTGAATTCTGGGGCTATCTGATATAGTTGGAAAGCATATGGAGAATAGGGTGTGAATTTGTTCAATAATGGTAACATGAAGGATCATTTAAACAATGAAAGGAATTTACTAGTTTCCTGACAGCTAGAGACATTGTAGCAGAAGTGGTCACTGCTAAGAACCAGGATTGATAAATTAACTAGAATTCCGGAATCGTCACTGACAGAATGAGAAGGGCCAGTGCTTGCTATTGGTCTCGCAGAAGTGGATGCTGCGAGAGTGTTTGAGAAACTCCCATACAAATGGATAGAGCAATTATGTAGATAATGGCCTTCTCCTATTAAAGAAAATAATACGTGCAGTCAGACACTGTCCATCTAATAAAGAAGCAATTACCCAAATATAAGGTTGGTTGGTTAAATAATTGCTCAATGCATAGGTAGTTTTGCATATTCAAGTTAAAATTATACACAGGATATCATCTATTTATGTTTCAAAATCAGTCTTGCAAATTGGTATTCTGATAATTCTATTTTCTTTGTGATGTAAGGTTCTTGAAAGGCAAGTCTTTGTTCTAATGCTTTTTATATTTTATTTGTTTGATTGTCTTGTCAATATAAATAGTCTTGAGAGTGTCACATCACATCTTGTTTTGTTTTGTTTTAACTTTAATACTCTTGTTCAGGTTCACAACTACACTCCGCTTCCATCAATCAATAACAGCATCAAGATCAGGATTGAAATAATTCCTCTTCTGCATGTCTATTATTACATGGACATCCACATGTCAAAACAATAACTCTTTTGCAATTGTTTGATTGCTCTTTATTTGGACAGTTTACTTATAATAATTCTATCTGGGAAAGCACATTTTTTCACATTGAACTTCCTTCAAATGTTTGTTTATCTTGTCAATACAACTTCATCTCGTCTTCTGCTCTATTAGGCCTTAAGAAGCATGATTCATAGCCTTAAGTCATCCTTTTTTTCCCCCCTAATTGTTGTTTGAGGACATTCTTTGTCTCATCACATGTTTGACTTGAAAATTACTCAGCTAGATGCCTGACATATTGGGTTGAGATGTTTGCGAAGGCAAGTCATGACATATGAATTATTCTTGCAAAACATGGTTGTTGATCATGAATTACACTGAAACTCATTCTAAAAATTGATCCTGATCCCTGTGTGCTATTCTTGGTGGTACTTTTAGATGGAAGTTGGAATTGAGGACTGTCTTCATATTGAATTTGAATACAGTAAAAGCAAGTAAGTCTGAGGCTTATAGTGAATAAAATGACACATGATGAGTCGAGTTGGAAGGGAGCTTTATGTTGTCTTATTGAGTTCAAATGAATCAGGTACCACTTGAAGGATGTCATCGTTGGCAAAATATATTTTCTTCTGATGAGAATTCAGATTAAGAATATGGAGCTTGAGATCAGGCGCCGTGAGTTGACGGGATCGGGGCCTAATACATATGTTGAGACAGAGACCTTTGCAAAATTTGAATTGATGGATGGTGTTCCTGTCAGAGGTACATAACTTATAGTATTTTAGTTTCTTTTCCTTATCACCGATAATATGCACGATTGCATTTAACAAATCACTCCCAGAAAATTTGAGTGATGCATCTGAATTTCAACTCTCCTGTAGACCATTAATATCATGCCTGTCATGGTTGAATTTTAACTTGATCTTGATATGGCTTAACTTTAACCTCACATTTAGTTATCTGTGATGAGTTACCGGTGTTGCAAGATTTTTAAAATGTTCTGGCAGCAGAGTAGGATCACTGTAGATGCCTTTGTGGCTTATGTGTTTATTTAAGGTTGTCAAACACTCCTTTACAATGTTGCAAACCTTTTTTTGCCTATGAAGTAAGGACACTTGTAGAAACACTAGGAAATAAAGATGCCATAATGGAAAATTTTGAAAAGTAGGAACTCGACACAGAAAACAAATCGCATTTTAATGACAAACAAAATTAAAGGAATTGCACCTCATTATTGGAAGTCTAGCATGAAATACACATGCAAGCTTTATTTTGAGAAATGTATGCATGAAATACACATGCAAGCTTTATTTTTCCTACTTCAGAATTATGTGATTGCATGTCATCCATATGCAGCAATGAACCGCTTCTATAATGCCTTTATTTTATGATTTATGCACCAAGTCTTGATGAGAAAATGTGAAAATTTGATGATGTGTTGCATGTGTTCATCTCTGTTTGCGTGCTCAATACTGGTCTCTATTCATATTTCAGAGAATTATAACACCGATGCAATTACTGATGCCCTAACAGGTGAATCGATTCCAGTAAGACTGTTCCTGAGTCCATACGAGTTGACACCCACATATCGCAACATTAACAACAAAATCAGTGTGAGGTACTACTTGAATCTTGTTCTAGTTGACGAAGAAGATCGATGGTGTTTTAAGCAGCAAGAAATCACAGTTTATCGGCTTCTTCCAACTCCCTGAATGAGTGTCCATTTTAGAGGAGCTCAGAAATTTTATCATGACAGGAAAATAGGAGCAGTACCTTAGCAAGTAGCTTGCTTCTTTGAAGGACCAAGGATTCAGATTTGTCATGGAGAGAGATTTCCCTGTTTTCGTGTTGATGATGCCCTTCTTGATTTTGACCAGTGAAACACATCTGATGGCAAAAACCTTTCCATGTCTGGGATACTTGGAACTGCAAAAACCTACGCTCTGAATTTGAAAAAAAATCTGTTTTATTTATTTATTTATTTATTATTTTATTTGGCCTTTCTTTAGTCAGGTTTCTTTATATCCGTGCAACCCGTGATTGTAATGACTATCTATTTGACTTGTGATTTGAAATTTAAGTATTTTTTTTATAAAAATATTGTACACACATATTTGTTTTACGTGTGTTTTTATAGATAAAAAAAAATCTACATTATTTGTTTTACGTGTTTTTATAGATAAAAAAAAATCTACATGTAAATAAAAAATAATTAAATAAATAAAAAATTATTTGTTAATAAATAAAAAAATTGTTAATAATAATAAAAAATAAAATTAAAAAAATTAAGAGATATATATTAAAATATTTAATTTCACAAGAAAAGATATTTATCTAATTATTATTGTTGAATATATTTATTAAAATAAATTTTTTTATTATATCAATTGATAATAGAAATAAGTACATATTAAATTTATTAAATAAAATAAAAATATATATAAGATTGAATATATTAGAAGTATTATGTAAAAATAAAAAAAATGTTTTTAGATATAAAGCTCTTCTATATAAAAATTATAGAAACAATTATAGATGACTTGATATAATCTTTTAAAAAATTAAACACACACAATAATTAAAAAAATTCAATACAAAAAGGGTTATATAAGGAAAAAAAATATAGATGAGGGATATCAATCAAAACATAAATTTTAAAATTATTTTAAAAAAGATATTAAAAAATATCAATTAAAAAAAAGCATGAGTACTGTGTTTTAACTTATTAAATTTGTTATCTATATCATGTACTCATTTAGGTTCAATGTTTTTAAATTTATATCTAACCTAAATATAATTATAATAAAAAATAAAAAAGGATCCAAAAAGAGACTATTACAAGGAAAAATCCAAGCGTGTGGGTGGGCTTTCAAGCCCAACCTTGCATGCTCGGGCTTGGATTATTTTTTTATTTTTGAAAGGTGTCATGACATGATTAAAAAGTTGATATTTTTTTTCTCTAAGTATAGGAGTGTTGAAGTAATAAATAACCTAGTAAGACTGGAGTCAAATCATAAGGAAGTAAACTGTATAAAATTATAAACAACAAATGAAAAGGAGTTGAAGAAAACTTTTGAGATATGATATTGAAGTAAGGATTTAAACAAATATAAAACAATTGTCAATGTTAGATGATCCACCAATAGTATTTTAAATAAGTATAAGATAAACTCTTTTTATTATTCAATTAGAAACCACACACAAAAAAAATTCCAATCGGATTATAATTTATTAACATGATTATATTGATTATCTTATTTGAGTAATGACAATACTTGTAAATGTTGTCAAGTATTCATGGTGATAACTTATATTAATAACAAATTAAGTTCTATTCATAGCACATGTGTTAGTTATATCATACAATTAGACTATGAAAGTACCAATTATTTATTGTACCAAGAGTTATTTAATATAAATATAGATTAACCATTTAACAAGTAAGGCATTAAGAGTGAGTAAATAAGTACAAAACATTTTAGTATTAAATATGAAAGTCCATATTGAGTTTATACTATATTTATTCTTACACTATTAGTATAACCTTTTTATCTTGACATAATAAACTTAGCTTATGAATAAGAGAAACATAGATATATAAGAGGAGAATATGATTATATAAGTATAATAAGGAACTGAAAGGCATAAATAAGAGATTAATGAAAGCAAAACTTAAGTATTATAAAAATATAAAAAGAGAGAGCATGAACATAATCTTGATATGAAAACTAAGATGTATAAATGTATGTCAAATGCCTTCTTTTATAGGCTAAAATTTTAAACTTTTGATTTGATGATTAATTATTGAGTCGGTGACCACCTTTTGACTTGGTAACAACCCTTATCTTCTTGTCTGAAAAAAAATATCATTACTAACATCTGAATTTGAACAGATAGTCTCATGAAAGTTCTGAAAATTTATCTCAGCTTTTCAACAAAAAAGGAATGAGCTCATTTTAACTTCTAGAACTCGAGATATAGGCTGAACACTGAACAATGTTTAGGCTACAAGACAGATTTGAACTTTTTTTTATACTAAGATTTGGACTTTTAAATGACATAATTGAATCTTAGACTCTTCGTAAATGTTTTAGACCTATATCTTAACTTTCTAGCTATATAAACTAAATTGAAATCCAAGATCTACAGCTTCAGATATGACCCAATAACTGAACAATATTTTAGTTTGAATTAAATCAACATTTATTTTCTAAGCTTAGTCTTTTTTTTGTTCTTTTACTTTCAATAATTCATCACATCAATTAATCATTTAAGTTGTGAGATATGCTTGTATTTAAAATGAGTATTTACTATAAACTAAAGCTATTTTATATTATCAGACTTGTTATTATAAAAAATTCATAAGTTAGTGAATTTAATGATACTTTAAGTGTAATATGATGATATAAAACTTAATGAGAGTGCATTTTTAAGTATTAATTATGTTATCCCTTATTTTTATAAAACAATTAAGCAGACAACATGTCGTCTATAAGCTTAAATTCTAGCCACCGCTATAGTAGCTAAAAACCTATGGCAATGTTTCTTTTGATAAAAAAAACCCCTAATTTTAAAGTTATTTCAACCTAAAAAACCTCACTAACACCTTTAGAACTTATACAAACCTATTTATGAACCTAAAAAAATCTAAAAAAAGGTCCAAAAACCCAAAATCAAAACAGGTTAGATTTATCTTCCTTAACTTAATATTTTTTAGAAAATATTAAGACTCTAAAACACAATCATCAAACAATTCTTGTAGGATATAACGTATAGATACTAAGAAAAACTATTTTGATGGTCAAATATTGCTTGAACAGGAACTTTCTCTTTTATCACTAAAATCCAACAACCTCTTTCTCTCCTCTCTTTAATCATGGATTGGAAATATAATACAAATAAACTTTTATACTAAAAGTGAATTTTTTAAATTTAAAGGGATCTAAATTGTATAAATTGAATTATTTTTAAAAATGAAGAACGTAAGTGTATTTATCACAAAATCTCTAGCATGCCACCCATGTTTGACGTCTTTTTCATTTCGATCTCTCTTTTTCCAATTCAAATCTTACTTCAAAAGTAATTAGCCTTCAATTAGGATTAATCACCCAAAATAAAACTTTGAAGATCAAAATGAATTATTACAAATTAAACTATTAACCCCATAATATTTTTTTTAGTGTGTGAACAATGTTTATCTATAGTAAAAAACTCACACATTTTAGTGTCTTTTATAATCCTTGCATGCACTTTGTCTTATATACGAACTTATTGAAACTCAAAATTCCAACAATATTAACAAAACATTAAGGTAGCTTGTTATTGCTATCACCATAAGAGATGAAGAAAATAGAGACAAAAAAGACAAGAATAAAAGAAAGAAAGAAAGATAAACATAATTGTATTAGATAATGGTGTATAAGATAAAGTGATTGTTTCTGTATCCTGTTTGGTTATGATGAATAAGACATAATAAAATATAAATAAGTCTAATTTACCCTTAATATGTATTATTATTAAACTTGTATATTTTTAAAAATAATTAGATATTGTTTTTTTTTAATTTAGTTTATATTGAGAGTTTAAATTAATAATATTATAATAACCATACTTATAAAATCAAGATTGGCTTGACAGGTTAACCTAGAATCGAGCCACTTCAGGGCCCGGATTAGTCCGAATTCAAAAGAAATAGAGAAAAAAATTGACTTCATTTAACCCAATAAAAAACTTAGGTTGACCCGGGATAAAAAATAGGTCAAAAAAACATTAAATTATTTTGTAATTTGTTTTTGATCAAAATAAGATTTACTTTGATTATTTTTTATAAAAAAATATAGGGGAACTAGGTTGACTCTCTTGACCAGTGACCTGAACCTTTTCTTAGGTTAAATTCCAAGTTGAGTTTTAAAATTATAATAATAACTATTTTTATCCATATATTGACTTGAATTAACCTAAATTGACCCTCCCGACCCATAACCCAAGCCTTACCCTAGTTAGCCTCCAAGTCAGATTTTAAAATTATAATAATAATAGTTTTTATCCTTATATTGATCTGAATCAACTCGTATTGACCCTCAGGTTTATGACCCAGAATTTGCTTCAAGTTGACACTTGAGTTAGATTTTAAAACTATGATAATAACTATTTTTATCCTTATATATCTTAGTTGGACAATTTTGAAATTGAGATTTTATAATGATATTGTAGAAATAAAAAATAATAAATATTATCTCTAGAGACATTTCCTCTCTATATCTCCTATTTTGAAAGTATACAAATTCAATCCAAACTTTTCTTAAAGATAAATTTATTTTTTATGTCTCTATCTCTTCAACTAAATACATTTATGTCTCCACTATTTTTGTCATTTCTATAACATAATAATAACCAAACGCTATCTAAAGTGTATGACTAAATCATTGTAGTCACGCCCAGAACACTATTCATTATAATAATATATTTTTAAAATTTTTTAATTTAACCCTTCAACAATCCAATTTTTTTATTAAGTTTTTTTAAATAATGTCCTTAAATATTAGGTTGTGTTGAGAATTATACCTTGTAATTTTTTTTATTTCCTTTGTGTTGAGTTATGTATCAATCTCATAAATTTAATTTGTTTCCCTTGATTTCAACATTCAATATTAGATATGTTGGAAGTAAGGCTTCATAAATTTTTATAGTTTGTTTTCTCTGAATTTATTTTAATCTCATGATCTAAATTACGGATTTAACAGGTTAACCCGATTTGACTCGAGTTATTTTTTTGACCTGCCTTCTATAATTGATTTTTTTCGATTTTAACATTGAATATTGAGTTGGTTGGAAATTGGGCTTCATATGTTTTTTTTATATGAGATTATCCCGATCTTATGACTTAAGTTGTGTGTTTGATAGGTTAACTTCAGTAGTTGTTTCAGTCTTTTTTTTTTTTAATTTAACAGTTTTTTTCTTCAATTCCATCTTTAAATATTAGGTTGATTAGCCTTTTTTTTTAATTTAACAATTTTTTTCTTTAATTCCATCTTTAAATATTAGGTTGATTAGAAATTAATCTTTACAATTTAATTTTATTTAATTTTTTTAGTGTTATCTGATCTTATAACTTGGATCATAGATTTGACAGGTTAATTGGATTGATCCAATATGTTGTAGTCTTAATATTTGAAAAAACAAATATCATTTAATATGTCACCGTATTAATATTTAAAAAATATATAGTCAAATATGCATTATATTTTAAGTTTATGATTAACTCGTTTAATGAGAGAAAAAAATTTATATTGGTTAGATAATCTTTTTTACGTTAAAATTTTTTTAATCTGACCCATAACATAACATATGCTGATATCTAGTAAGTAACTAAACACTAATATAAATATCTCACGAAATCTTCGAACACAACAGACTTCTATTTAACATACAAACACTCAATTTCTTATTTAAAAGATTTTTCAATTTGAATGCAACCATCGATATCCTCACTGTCTCCACACAAATTTATATCTTAAATATTGAAGAAGACATGTGGCAAAGAAAATTAACATCTAGTTACATTTGATTAGTGTTTGATGATGTCCCAAAATTCAAGACATGTAGATAATGAGTTATTTAGTATTTGAGACAGTGATTAATTAATATGTTTAAGTACTTAAATTTCTTCCTTTTAGTCTAAGAAATTTCAGGCTTATGGTAAAAGTTTGAATACCTACAAAAATAATCTCAATCGATTACCTCTAAGGTTGAAGACCCTTTACTAGATCTTTTTTTTTTGTATTCTTATGGATAGTATAATCGTTTACAAACACTAAGTGGGTTTTGTATTCTTATGGGTAGTATAATCGTTTACAAACACTAAGGGGGGTTTGCTATCGTAGATGAGAGTGGAAAGATGTAACAATTTGTTGAGTAGGGGCTAAGATTTGCTTAGGTGAATTTTCTCTTGCTTGTTGATTTCTAACACTACCTGAGTAAGGGCTTATTGATTTCCAGCACTGTCTAAGTAAGGAGTTGTATATGTTCCATAAGTTGTTAAAGCTGAGTAGGGGCTGAGATTTACTTATATGAATTTTCTCTTGCTTGTTGATTTCCAACACTACCTGAGTGAGGGCTTGTTGATTTCCAGCACTGTCTAAGTAACGAGTTGTATATGTTCCATAAGTTGTTAAAGAATTGGTTAAGTAGGGGCTATATTATCTGTTGTGGCAGGGAAATCAATAACTTGACTTTTTCATAAGTGTCCAGATAATTTGCTAGTGATAATGATAATTAGATAAAAACAATAAAATAATAAAACTATTTATCTTTTTATAAGTGTTTCCCACAGACAAGGCCACTGACAATGTCTTAAAAACCAAGATATATAAACAATGAATTATTTAGTATTTGGGATAGTATTTAATCAACATGTTGGAGTACTTGAATTTCTTTTGTTTAGTCTAAGGAATTCTCAATTTATGATAAAAGCTTAAGTACTTATAAAAACAGTTTTAATTGGAAAGATTCAAAGACCTTCAATAATAAAGTCAATATATTTATAAAAAAGATAATAAATAACTTAAAATAGCCTTAAACTTAAAAAATAAAAATGTTTATTCTATATATATATATATATGTATATAATTACTTAATTACTTTACTTAATGTTATTAAACATGATCTAAATTTAGCAAGTCACTTTAGAATTATTTTGCCTTTATAATTTAAAAATAACTTTATTCCAGTCCTTGAAGTTAATATGTTTATGTCAACTATGAACTTCGTTTTTGTACAAGTCAAAATTCATTACAATGAACAAATTCACTATTATTAAAGCTTAAGTGAAAAGGTTTTAAGATTATCAAGATTGGGCATCATTTGTATATACTAATTAATACCAATGACTAAATGGGGGAGAGGGCTGGAATTGAGCGATTTCAAAAATAAAAGGACTAAGTCAAAAAATTATAACTATCAAGGACTGAATTCGTACTTTTTGTAAACTACAGGTACAAAAATCAATTGCCTCACCCCGAACATAAAAGAAGAAGCTTGGGAGCACAGGTTCCTAAAACCGAACTCGTCTCTTTCAAAGCCCCAAGTACTACAGAACCCCAGAGTTACGTAGCTGGTTTGCATGTAGAATCAAATCCAAAACTATCCCTTTTGAATTTCCTTCTCTTCTTCACTTGTGCACCCCTCACTTACAACACCTTTGCAAGTTTAATTTTGATATAAAAAAGGGTTTTTGGTTCAGGCATTTCATCGAACAAGTCCCATGCATTACATAGAAACGCCAAAAACGTAGTCAAGGAGTGAGCTTTATCAGTAAAACGAAAATGGGTGAGTGGTTGAAGAACCAGTTGTTCGTAAGCCATGCGATTGCAGCAGTAGGATCAGTAACAGTTGCCACTGCTGTCACTTACCCACTTGATACTATCAAAGTTCTTATTCAGGTTTCTTCTGCCTTTTTATTCCTCGTTTCTTTTACATTTCTTAATGTAATCACTTACTTATTTTGCATTATTGTTTTTTTGGATATGGGGATCAGGTTGGTTCGAATTCTGGTAAACAATTAACATCACTTCAGGCTTTAAATAGAGTTCGTTCTTTATCTGGGAATTCAGGTACGAATTCTGCTTCAGTTGATTTTTTTTTGTCTGTTTCACGAGAATTTCTTCTCGGATTAATGTGTGATTAGTATCATAATCCTCAATCCCTTTTCTTTGAATGAACATGCTAGGCTTGTATAGCGGTTTTGGGTGGTTGACTGTAGGCAAAACTCTTGGCCTTGGAGCTCGGTTTGGAGCCTATGAAATTTTAACTGCTTATTGTAAAGGTATTCAGAATTTCGCCTTCCCTGTCAGTTTATGGTTTTGAGTCAAACGAGTTTATATCTTGATGTTAGTTATGGAAACGAGTTCGGAATATATGAATTTTGATCGAGCTATGTGGTGTTTGCTATTGACATTCTGGCAGATGGTCGAGAATACAGCCACGTGTATGTCTCTGAGGCCCTTATGGCTGGAATGGTCGCTGGTGCATTGGAATCACTTGTATGCTCTCCATTTGAACTTATTAAACTTCGTGCACAGGTTACATCTGCATCCCGAGTTCCAAGATCTACCCCTGTTGCTGAAAATAGAGCTGTTGCACCCATTATTGCTAAATTACTACCTGGACATACTCCAGATAAGAAGGCATTGAACCATTTTGTTACCCTTTTATCCACCCTAACCAGTAAGCATCCAAATCTGGTTGGTGCCTTGCTAGAGTACCCATGGATGATGACTGGGTCTGGGAAGGCACCATCAGTCTGTGATGTTCGGAAGCCATCAAGCATCATCTCTTTGGAAGGATGGCGTGCACTGTGGAGAGGGATCAGATCAGGACTTGTTCGAGATTCTATTTTTGGTGGGGTATTCTTCAGTAGCTGGCAATTTATGCACGATGTAATGCTTAACTGGAAGGCAGTTGGGATGGATCCTATACCCAGGTTTGAAAAAAATGTCCATCTACTAATCTAAGCAAGACTCCCTGTTAAGTGCTTCTAATGATACTCTTGAAACCTACAGCTGTGTTGCTAATCTGTAATAGTTTTGTAATTCCCAAGTTGGCAAGTCATTTTTTCCTAAAGAAATTGAGAAGATTGTTCAGAGGAAAAAAGAAAAAGAAAAACATTGCTAAACATCTGCTAACTTGGTCTCAAAGTGTCCTCTGCTGCTATCTTTGGGAGCAACGTAATCAAGGGTTTGAGATATATTTGCTACCATGTGGCTCACAAAGTCATGTTTTGCCAGTGAAATTGTGATGTGTTATTGTGTCTGTATCTAGTGGTCTACAGGGTTTTATGTGAATACTAGGTATATTTACCAACACTATTGGAGCATATGGTATAACTTAAAGGATGCTAGAATAAGATGACTGGCAGTTGCCTATACGTGCATTTTATATTTAAATTAGTTAATGTTCAACATTTATGTTACTTTAGAAATCCTACATGGAGGTTGTTAGGTGTAGTGTTTGATAATTCAGTCAGTTTATACAGTTTCTATATGCTTCTTCTTTTTTTGTTTCATTTGAACCTCTCTCTGCTCTATTATTTAATGAATGTCTTTCAATATCCTTTTTTAGAGAAGAATGCTAGCCTTAGCTCCTTCAAAGACAACATAACAGGCAGCCATTTACCATCATACCCATCCCTTATCTTATCTCTTCTTTTCTTTCATTTTTAATATATCTAGGTATTGTATAAATTGCACCTGAGATTGTTCAGTGATTACTCACATTGTTTATCAAAGGTCCCACAGAATTTTTTGCTGATAATATGTAGTTTTTTTGTTTTTTTCTAAGGTATTTTATGTTTTAGGTTGAGCTCATTTTAAAATAAGATGCTAATGCTGCAAGACGGTAATTGCATAGGATTTGGGTGAACTGAAAATGCTTTCCAATTAGAGCTGTTGAATGAATTCCATCTCCTCTGATTGAGCATTTTTTCAGGATTCTAATTACTGTAAATGTAGATCTCAGGCCTTTTGCCACCTTTTTTTGCATTAGATGCTGGAAAGAGCCACTTAACTGACAGTTCTTATATAGATTATATTACTGGAATATTATATATTGATCACTCATAATACGGAACTGTTTAGATTGGCTGCTTTGATTGGGAGTTTTTGGACTCGCACACTTGCATGACCTGTAGTACTTTATGTTCATGCTGAGACCTAGGTTTCCTAGTAATCTTTTGACATTGAAGGAACCTCCTAAACTAAATGGGTGAGCTTGCTTGACTTGTAGTACTTTATGTTCATGCTGAAACCTAGGTTTCCTAGTAACCTTCAGACATTGAAGGAACTACCTAAACTAAATGGATGAGAAAAACACTGTAGGATTCAAGGGACATGCTAGTTATTAGAAACTTATTCAATTCTATTGCGGTTATATAATTCAAAATGATGCACTGCATTAAGATACCGTATAATAATTTCAGTGTCATTGCACAGCCTGTTCATTCCCTCTCTTTTTTTTTTTTTGAAAGGGGGTGATTTTTTGCCTGCTGGAAACGAGTAAATTCTTGTGCAGCACTCTGTAGCAATACTTTGTTATTTTTATCTCTTCTTCTCATAGTATTATGCCTTTTGTTAGGTCTAATGAAGAAGTTGGCTCACTCTCTCCTCTATCTGTTAGTCTTGCTGCTGGATTTTCTGGTTCCGTTGCTGCAGCTGCATCTCATTGTTTTGACACTGCCAAATGTCGATCACAGTGCACAGTGCTGCCCAAGGTATGCTTCTTGTTACTGGCAGGTTTAACATAGATGATTTCTTATTCATTTTTTTTAAAATAACTACTGCATAATCTTGATGGATTATTTATTTGAGTTTCTGTCCATTCTTCTGACGTTTTGGCATTTGGGTTTTGGTTTTCACGTCACAAGAATTACAAACAAAGGCAAAGCGGAGAAGGGGGTGAATTTACTTCAAAAAACTTAATGTGGCAATATTGTTTTCTTGCAGTATATTTCTATGGAGAGGAATTTGTTGAGATGGACACAACCAGGGAATAGATTTGAGAGGTATACAGGCATCCACCCTGCAGACAGGAATATCTTGTTTCGTGGCCTGGGGTTGCGAATGGCTCGCAGTGGATTTGCATCGTTTATGATTGTTGGGAGTTATTATTTGACGGTCAATCACCTTGTTTCAGAGGGAACCAAGAAAAGAGTATCAAAAGAGAACAAGTTGTTGTAAAATCGCCTGGCTGAGTCCATGTTCACTGCAAAGAGTTTCTCACCACAAAATGAGCTATCTACTTCTGCAGCTTGGCGAAGCGGTGTTCGAGGAAAATGAACCGCTCACCTAGTATCCAAGTAAAAAATAAAATTCATTAAAGTATCCTTATAGAAATATTCTTCAAAACTGCTTCATGTCCACGTTATTCCCCCTTCTATGATTTAGGAAGATTTCATTATATTGCATTTTTGCCCATGGAATAGCTTCAAGATTTCAAAGCAACTCCAGATGCATGCAAAACCATCAAGCTGAATTGACAAATTGTCTCAAACTGAATAATTTTTCAATAAAACACCTCCTTTTCTCCTACCCAATACTTTGTGTGATCTCATTTATTACAATAAAAGCTAAATGATGTGGTGTTTTTATTATTCTAAAATCATTCTTTACCATCTCATATATTATTGTGAATTGAAGTAGTGATTTTTTAAAAATATTTAATTTGATTCCCATTGTATTTTTATTTTTATTTTTGCATGATTGCATTTTTACTTGCTCAAATTAGTATTCAGTTTAATGTATTTTTTAAGAGAGGATTAAATTAGAAGACAAAGGATTGAAGTGACAATCATGAGTAAAATAAATGTTTTTTAATTTTATTTGAAAAGTACATTTGAATCCTCCATCATTTTTAACTATTAAGTAATTGGTCTCTCTAATTCTAGAAAAATCAATTTCAAAATTATACATTATTTTCATTATTTTTCAGTTTTTATTGGACAAGAGGAGAAAAGAATCACTAAATTTCAAGATAAAAAATGTTATTTATATGAATGGTAGAATTTTTTTTTTTAATGGTTCCATATGATAAAATGAGTTTGAATTAAGTGCTTTTTTGTATGATTCCAGTCATCAAAATGGTAGAATTTTTTTTTTTTAATGGTTCCATATCATAAAATGAGTTTGAATTAAGTGCTTTTTTTACCTGGAAAATGCTTAAAAAAACATAGGAAAAAAAACATAGGAAAGAAATTAAATTTCATGTTGATTTTAGGTTTTGAAGTGATTTTTTGTATTTTTGAAAGTTAAGGGTTGGTTTAACAAGATTATTAAAATGTTTTTTAAGTATTTTTGATTAAAAATAAATTTTTTTATAAAAAAAACATACTCTTATTTCTTGACCGTTATAACACTTAGAATATGAAAAAAAAAATATAAATAAATTGGGCAAACAACTTATTGGCCCTATTATCTTCCAAAAATATATAAAGGTCTGTATGGAGGCTCATGATGTTTGTTTTGGACTATATATATAATTTTTTTTAATTTAAAGCTTCTTTTATAAATTTTAAATAATTTTTAAGTTTGTATTTTACTCCTATGAGCTTTTTTTTGTTTATTTATTCTTTTTCAAAATAGTGATTATTTTTAATTATATTGGATATTTTTAATTTTTGAAGAGATTAATATGATTTATTTGTTATTTTTTTATATTTTTTATATATTAAATTTATTTTTTAAAAAAAATTATTATAATATTTTTAATATATACAGCTATGCATAATATGTTTTTTTCTTTTTATTTTATTCAACAAATCTTATGTGTGTATCAATTTGTTGGGATGTCTTCCCCCTCTCTTTCTCTCTTATTTTTTTTATTGAACTTAACTCTTTATTTTTTATCTAGTTTTTCTCGTATTATAAAAAAAAATAGTTTTAGAGAAAAGCTATTTAATAAAAATTTTAAAGTTTATAGACATGTTCATAGATTTGACTCATTGATTTGATTCACAAATCTAGCAAATTTAACTTTTTTTCTAATTATTTTTTTCAGTATCTCAGTATTGAGTTGATGTTTGATTTTGTGATTTTTTATAATATAATTAAATAAAAACTACTTTTTATATAAAAACAAATTATAATCTTATTGTAGTCTATAACCTGCTTTGTAGGTTTCACGTGCTAGCTCAAGTTACCCGATTTATAAGTTTGAGGAATTTACCCACTTGTTGGATATGTTTTTTTGTCCTTTAATTATTTTTAATTTTTTTCTTGATTTTTTTTTAATATTGAATTGGTTAAGAAATAAATTGCATTATTTATTTTTTATTTGCTTTCTATAAGGTTATTATTGTCTCAAATAATTTTTTTAGGCTAGTGCTCAATTTTGTGACCATATATTTTTATCATATAATTAAAAAAATAGTTTACAAAAACAAATTATTAAACTCAATAGAGTCCATAACTCAGGTCGCTGAGGGACTGAAATCGATCCAATATGTCATTATCTCAATAATTTTTTTGTCATCTAGAATTTTTTTTAAAAGTTAATTAATCTTTTTACTAAATATTAAGATTACATTTAGACCCATGAAATCAATTAATTTAATTTGAGCTAACTTCTATATGATTTAATTGGAAATTCAAGTTAGATAAATAGGTTGTGAGGTTTCAAGATTGATTTATTAAATTGAATTTAATAATATAGTTAAAAAATTCAATGCACTTTTATTTATTTATTTATTTTGGCATTTAGAAAAGTTAGTTTAATGTTGGACAGAGCATGACAAATGGACTAGTGCAGTCTATGCATGGTAGAAAATTAGTAAGATAGAACCATTAGAGAAAAATATAGAAGTAAGATAGTAATTAGGATTCTTAGAAGGAAAAATGTTAGTAGGGTATGTTTGGTTATGTGGTTAGACTATATATATTTTATTGTAATTATAGATATATTTGTTTTTGTGTTTTGAAAATATTTTTGAAAAAAATTATTTTTTTTATTTTTTTATTTGCTTTAAATTAATATTTTTATTTTTTTCTTTGTTTCAAATTAATATTTTTTTCTGGTATTTTTAGATCATTTTGATACAATAATATCAAAAATATTTTTTAAAAAATAATAATAAAATATTATTTTAATATATTTCTAAATAAAAATTATTTTAAAAAACAATCACAATCATATTTCCAAACAGAAATCCCTTTTAAAACTCTCTCGTGGACCTTAATAGGTTTTCTTTGAAGAGTTACATGCATTGTTAGTATAGCTAATATGTTAGTCTAATTTACACATACCCATCAATTCCTTCTAAAAAGACTCCAAAATAAATGGCATCTCTCTCTAGCTTCAAATAAATGGGAATAATTTTGAAGATTTTGTTATTGTTGTTGAAGAATTTAAATACAAAAAGCCATACTACTAAAAATATAGTCGATGTGGCTTATATTTTAAAAAATAAATTTGGAATGCTAGTAGCCATAGCTATCAAATTTTTGTTCCTCGTCCAGCTTGGTGAGTCTATGTCAAAATAATATAGTTTTTAAAAAATAAAATGAAATTATTTTAGATAAAAATTAATAAATAAATCAAGTCGACACTAACATATCTCATCTAGGTTTGACTAGATCAACCATATAACATATTAACATATAGGGTTATCAATTAGATTTTATCGAGTCATTTTCCGAAACAATTAGAAAAAAAACACGATTCAAACTAAGCTTTGGACCACTTGATAAGCCTAACTAAGTTTAATAAACATGTTAATAACTAGTCATCTTCACATATTTTAAGTTTCTTCCTTTTGTTTTTCTCCATTTGTTTGCTTTGATGAAATTGTGATGTAAGAGCTCCTCTGGTTTGTGGGTGACCATGACCTCTTTTTCTTTATCATCACCTCCTTCTTCTTCTCTTTTGACATCTTCTTCCTCTTTTCATCTTCCTCCTTCTCCTTCTATTCGTCAGTCTATGTTTACTAAACTTACTTATCTCTATGAGGTTAGCCGCTTAGATGATATATAAAAATCTCTGAAACAGATCTTCCTCTTGTCAATCCTTATCATGCTTTTGCCAAAAATTCTCCTTTTATTCTTAATATTAAAACTCTCATCAAACAACCTTCTCGTGTGGCAAAAGAATATGTTCAGGCTTCCTCTTTTGACCAATATCAGATTCATGTTACTTGCGAATAGTTTCTTACTTTTAAAATTTCATCTGAATTTCCAAGCCAATGGATTCCTCATGGCTATTCATATATTCATTTTTGGTGTTATTAGACTAGCCTTATCTTATCATGACCATAAAGTTTTACTTGTTACAGCAAGATTAGCTCTTCTAGAAACCAAATATCTAGAGTATCAACATGCATGCATTGGATCTCTTGAAACCACGCTCAATTTTGGTATAATAGTTGTTACTTTATATCCCAACTTCAAAATGACTTTAGATGACCCTCAACTTCATCACTTTTTGGAATTCTAACTGTAGATCACTGGGGCTGATCAAGTTTTAAATATCTATCAAGCCACTCTTCATTATCAAATGGCTTATAGGGTCTAAAATCATGCCTTTGATTTAGTACTTCCTGTTACAAATGATGTTTTACTTATCACTGTTGATACCAACCA